ATATATATATATATATATATGTATGTATGTTATATTTTATAGCATAGGTTTATTCCTGGCTGATTTATATCCGTTTGACTGTGTGCCAGTATTGGTTTTACCATAAATAGCTCTGTCCCCTTTTGGTGTTCATATCCTTGATTTACATCTAGAGAGAAATAGTATGCATTTGAAACTATTTTTGCTGGGAAAACCAGGTTGAGTTCTCAAAGTTCCTTTTCCATTCCCCTGATCATTTTTTGCTTGTGGATTTTTTTGAGATTTCCAAAAAAAAAAAAAGGGGGGAGGGGGGGTGAGTGGGAGAAAAGGGAAAAAAAGCCACTTCATAATAGAACATTTTGGGTATCTGTGTGTTTAGCAGGCTGTGAATGAATACTGAATCACTATTTTTTGCACTGTTTTTGCTTTATATTAGTCCTATATTTCAGTATTTTATTAAAAATAGTAAGATAGAACATAGAAAATACAGATTCATCATTCATTTCAAATTCATATAGAGAAAGTAATTACAAGTATCTTGTAACCTGTCCTTCATTTAAAAATGCGGGAAGCTGATACTGGCTTTGTGTAGGAAACCTTTACCCTTATGTTTGTGTAAATAGAATCTAAGTGGCTATCTTTGGAGTGTAAATATTGTGTAAAATACCTGCCTATGTTGCATCTTGATGTTGCAGTGAGGTAACAATTGAAAGCATAGTCTTGAATCAGATCAAATAGAATGAAGTAGCATTATAAAGAGGTAAGAGTATATTAATATATCGCTATCCACAAAAATACTCAGTAGTCTGGTATGTGCAAAAATAGTCTATTTTCTTCAAGTTTATTTTCTTTTCTGTGTAATGAAGACTGATGATCAGTTGTCTTTTGGAAAACTTCAAGAGTAGGCTGTTGTTCATCTCATATGATTATATATTTTAAATGGTATGGTTCCCAAATCAAGTATTACAGGTAGATGAGTGCTAAATATTGTGTTTGGGTAACTCTTCAATTTCTTAATTGCTGTAGCAAACATTAAGGATTTCTTGATGGCATCTAAGGGGATATACTTTGAATTCAGGGTTTCATAGGGCAGTCTGCCAGTGGAAGAAAGTAGCATGCAAATTTTAGGAATTCCGTAGTGCTTGTCACATATGGATTAACAGAATTAATACTGTTCTGCTAGGTTATGAAGTATTGAAGGTTTTTGCTAGTGTTCTTGATGCAGTAGAGTACTTCAAATTTCCTTGTATAGAAAGATGAAGTGGTGTAAAGGTGTGGGCTTTCAAGTTTTGGTGACAATGAGTACTTGTCCCTGCTTAGCAGTACTTCTGGTTGTTTCTTGTGGAACTCCGTCAGCGCCCTGCTTTCTTTTTCCTCCCATTGAAGAATGGCAGTTCTGTAGTACGATTGCATGAGATTATTTTGTTGTAACCCGTTAGAAAACCAAAACAAAACCCCCAAAAACCCCAGAACAAACAAAAAAAACCAAAACACAATTTCTGGAAGTAAAAATATACAGGTGAAATGCATTTTTCAGAAGTTTTGGTGCTTAGGACCTTGGTCTTTGTAATTGTGAAAACATACCTGAAATTTGTGGATATGAGCACTTTTAAAAACTATGTTCAGTTAATTTTAATCTGTATACTCTTTAGGATGATTCTATTTTGGGATGCAAGCATAGAAAATATTTTTCACTCAGTGACACCCTCCCTGTCTACTGGTCTCTGTGTCTATTAACATTTGCTTTAATCCTCTGTGATGTCTTTTCTCATCCCTCTTTTTGGCTTTTGAAATATTTATTATATTCCTGACTTGGAGAGACTTGATTGTAATGATAATTGGTTTTAGATAGGTTTAAGAATGTCGTTCAACACACAGTGTAAGCAGAAGTGCCAAGATGAAACATGTTGAAAATTGTATGCTCTGGATTTGAAGCATGCAAAGTGTCGGAGTTGAAGAGAGAATGAGCTTGGGGTGTGAGATGATGAATGCAGAGCAGAGAAGCTTGAAACTAGTGTACAATGTGTAAATGAGGGCAATGTGGTCCTTGTCAAGGTGAAAGATGTTGAGCAGCTGCGGCAGGAGGCCAGCATGGTTTAACTGGCAACTCCTGTCTGAATTCAAGAGCAAAACGCAAGTGAACAGAAGGTGGAAGCAGGGATGGGCTGCCCAAGATTAATATGGAGATATTGCCTCTCTGTCTTGGGATGAAAATGGGAAAGCCAGAGCTCAGCTGGCATTTGAAACTGGTGAGGGACATGAAAAGTAACAAGAAAGCTTTCTACAGGGACACTGTTGGCAAATAGAAGACCAAGGAAAATGTGGGCTTATTCCTGAACGTGATGCATGACCTGGTGACAAAGACGAGTCAAATATTTTTATCTACAGTCAAAGAGAAGTTCTTCATGTCTCTGTGCGTGGAATTATTGACTATGTCATTATTGGATATTTGTTAATGATTCTGGTGTACTTTATCTGAGGATAGAAATTGATCTGGTTATTTTATTAGTGCTGTCATGTGTTGTGGTCATGTGTTTGTTTTTGTTTGGGATTTTTTGTGTTTGTGGGTTTTGTGGGGGTTTTCTTTTGGGGGGGGTGTAGCAGGAAAAAACCCTTTTCAGAGGCAGTCTTTCTCAGTCTGGCTGTTTTTCAAAGCTGGTAAATGAAGTTATATGATAAACCATTATAGGTTTGTATAGGGGTGAGGATGGCTGTGTCACCTCTTTTCTTTTCCCCTCTCACCTTTTCCACCATGTATTCTCATTGTCTCTGTTGTGCTTGTACTATGCTGAAAATATGTGTGCTTATGCTGAAAACTTCAGTCAGATCAATGTCTACATTTACCTGTTGGAGCTTTGTTAACAGCTCAGAGCTCAGGCAAGATACTGGCATTACCAGATCAAGGAGTGGAATGTAAAAGTGCAGGCTTAAAATGGCCAAATTATTCCCGAGTCTACGTCTTTGAGAGATACACATAGAAACACACATACTTTTCTAAATTAAAAACAAACAAACAAAAACCTGTTAAAACTTGCTATTTTCCCAATATTTAGGTGACAGATCCCATTCCTTTCTGTAAGGACTAGCACTCTATATATTAAATACACCTGAATGTAACCAAGTTATACTGGGTATTTCATCGGACTTTCAGGATTTGTTTCTCATGGTTTGTCATTATTTTAGAGTTAACCCTAGATTCTTGCCTTAGCGGTACCTTAAGCAAGTCGTGTCCAAAGACACAAATTACTTATTCAGAATTTGTGAGTCTCTGTTCTTGTTAGGTTCTTGCAATGTGTAGGTCAAAGAGTAATAGGCTTAAGCCTGTGTTGGTAGTATGCATGTTACGCTGCTTCAGCGAAAGAAGACAGCCTGTGGAGAAGAGGTTGCATTTGCTAACAGCTAGTGTGGATGTTAGAAAGAAATGAACATCTGAATTTGCAGTCAGCAGGTGTTCCAGTAGAAGCAGGTATTTAGGTGGGTTAGTTCTGTAGGTCTGAACACATGATGTGCTGTCAATCCTATGCACTTTTTTAAAATTGGCAATGAATTGGCCAGAAGTGAGTAATGTAGATAATACTGTATGTCTTGGATCTATTTTCCTCATCTTAAGAATATTGAAATAGCAGTTGAAGTAGTGATGGTGAAAGAACTTCATGACAGATGGTGCATAACGGAATACTGAGTATTGTTGTAATCATATATAATAAAGATTTCATGTGATTTGACTTGAAAAAAGAAGTAAACGAGTATTTTATTTGTTACCGTCTTCTCTTTTCTTGGGGGTGTAGGCTGTTTTGAACATTGTTTTTTCCTTCTCAGACGGCTGATTGTCTGGGTTAGGAGACATTAGATTTATTTTCAGAATCTGAAGATAGGTCAATGCTGATCTTTAGGTCCTTGGAATGTTTAGATGACATTTAATACAGTGTAGTTGTATAACCTTAGCAACTGTATGTTTTCAAATGGCAGTTAGAAAACCATGTCAGTTCTTTCAATGTAAAATATAGTAAAAATAGAATATTGTGTGTTTCTTTAGGTTAAGTGGTTTTTTGTCTCCTTTTCTATCAGCTTTAGAATGGTAGCTACAGGGGAGATCACCATATGAAAGCATTACATGAAATAACATTGACATTTTTGATACTGAAAACCAACAAATCTCTGTTCCCTGGGAACATTTAAAGCAGAGTGAATAATATTAATATTTGCTCTAAACGTAGAGCAAACTGATTAATACTCCAGGACCATTCTTTTTACCTCTTCCTAACACGGATGAAACATTAAGTGGTGCAAGTTCCTTTCATTTATCTGATAAGAATAGTATTGGTGAACCATAAGTAAACATGAGTAACGTTTGAAATATGTAGTCAAAGATAATCTTCACCATTTCTTGTAATTTATGCTTTAGCTGTTGTGTAAGTTACTGCATAGAATAGAAAATGCTGTCTGTTTTCATTGTCCAAGAACTTTTCTATCTTTAGTATTCAGTGTGTGTATTTCTGAAACAAGAAAAAGATGGCATATTTTAAAAACATCACTGTGCATTTGTATTTAAAGGTCTCTGGGTAGTATGTGACTATTTGAGGAAAGACTTTATTCAGCATGCTGACTTTGGCCAGAGTCGTGATGGGAATGCTATTGTACTAAATAGAAGTAGTATAGTGTAGATGGAGATCAGGTGTATTAACTTGTTTTCCTAGGGATTCTCTTCCAAACTGTGGTTAAACATTCCATTCTAGATAATTCAGTAGCTCTTTTATGTACCGAAGGTATCATTATGTTACTGTGTATTTGCAGTATGGCGGGCAATACAAAGTAGTACTGCTGTTTTGTTTCCTTTCTTTTCTTCTCCCCTCTTTCAAATTTGTTTTTTGTTCTTTCTTTTTTCCCCAATGTAGCTGAGGAAAATAGGAGGTGGAGGATTCGGAGAAATTTACGATGCACTGGACTTGCTTACTCGGGAAAATGTTGCACTGAAGGTCGAGTCAGCTCAGCAGCCAAAGCAAGTGCTGAAAATGGAAGTAGCTGTGTTGAAGAAATTGCAAGGTAGGGCTGTACCCTGGATATGTGAGAAGTAGCATGTCAGTGTTGGAAAATCGTTATAATCTCTATTTAGTCACAGTTTGAGTAAATATTCCCATATTCTGCAGGTTATTGCTAGATGGTTATTTAAAGTGAAATGAAAGCTCTTTTAGCTTCTGAAAGTTTTGCTACAATAAACCTTTTATCTGAAACTGGATGACATGAAAAGAACAACAAAAACAGTAAATAGCTGCACAAAACCTATGCTGAACTGTAGTTTATTCTGGATCCATATCTTCTGCTTATGTTGTTTGCTGTAGACTTTATTGATGTTGTTAGCTTTTTATTTCCCCTTCTAAGATGGTTTCTTTTTTTACTGTACTGTCTAGCATTGAATATATGTGGGTCCTTTACATAGCACCCAGGATAAAAATATTTAAATCCTTTAACTTGTAGAAAAAAAATATTGGTATGTAGAGTCCTGAAATACTTTTAGGTTTCAGGTCATTCAGAATCACAGCTTTGAATAGACATTTTTGATGTACCTTTAAATACTTTACTGCCTGAAGCTACCAATATAGAGAAATATGCAATGGCTTCTCTTCTTTGCTTTTGACAACATAGGATTATAAAAAGAATGTTTAAAGGGTAACTTTCTTTCTTTAAGAAATTTATTTTTAATCTGGAAGATTTTGACTAATACATCTGTCCCTGTCAGCAGCCCCATTTTCCTAAACTCTAAGTTTGAATAAAACAAAATCTGCATGACATATGGTGCTGCCTAATCTGCTGCAAAGGTCACATTGCAGCAGCAATTGACAGCCCTTATAGATTTAAGAGGGCAAGCATGTCATGTGTTATTGCGTTAACAAACTGTTCCTATGTTTATATCTTTTTAAGGAATTTCACATATTATATAGTCGAGCAAGGAGATTCAGGGACTGCGTATTTGCTTTCTTTGAATTTTAGAGTTGAATAGAGATGAATAGTAAATTTCAATATTATCAATTGTAAATTTAGAAACCATTTGTCAAGGCTTTTGAAGGAAATGATCTTAGTTTTAAAGAAACAAATACTCTAATACTGTGTTTTTAAGTGCTCAGAATTAGTTTTTCAAGATACTGGGTTGGTTGGGGTTTTTTTGTGCATACACGACATTAGTTCTATTTTTAGCAGAAACCAGTCTTTAAAATGATATAAGTGAAGCAGCCAAAGTAATAATGACAATAGTAATATTTGAAATGAAATATTGGAATTTGGTAGCACTACAATGCCAGTATATTTGTAAAAACAGCCTTATATATGACTAGGTAGCTGCATTAGAACTTTCTACTGTGAATTCATGTGAAGTTTACGATATTATGAAAAATGCTTTTTTCTTAGTGAAAACTTTTTTACCTTTTGAAATATTTTTGGAAAACAATATTTGCTGAAATTATAAAACATTGATTTGTGAATAATTGCCATAGAACCTTATAGAAATTATCATTTTCTTATCAGTCTTTCTTTGGGAGTATTAATTCCATTAACAACCCAAGTCTTCTTGCAGTGGTCCTACTGAATCATGGGAAATGCTGTCTAGATGAAAAGAACAGAATCATGAAACACTTGAACAACAGAGCTACTGGGGCAAATAATCCAATTAATATATAATCCAAATAAAGACCTTTCAGTTATTTACTTTCTCTGATAAAACAGTAAATAGAAGGGTTTCTATATAACCGAAACACTGATTTTGTATGCGATATTTAGAAGGAGCTCTTTTGACAACCTTCCTTATGAGAAATCAATCTAAATATTATTCCTTAATTTTTATCTTTTTTAATTGTTTTGCACAGTTTAAAGAGGACCCTCCCCCCCATATTAAAATAAAAAGTCATGATGATAACTCTGGAGGTGACCTTTAATCATTGCTGCACAAGTTCCACATTACGGTGCAACTGCTCTGGTTTTAGATAGGGAATATTCTAGATAATCATGAAAATGACTATAGTAAGAGGTGAGTCAAGGATGAATCTTTTGCATATATTGAGATATATAGTTTGCACAGATACGTAACTTTTTTATTACATGCGTACATTTTTATCCATACTTAAAGGATTTTTATTAAATAATGTTATGGTAGAAACCATTTTATGTTTTACCTAAAATCTTGGCTTCTAGGACCCATTTCCATTAATTTTTCTACCTTCCCAAGTTTTCAGTATGCAAGAGCTAAAGATTTGAAGCAGAGGTTAATCAAGAAAAATAGACAAAAATGGGGAGTAGAAAACATCTTTATTATTGCTTCTTGAGAAGTATTTTTTATTGAATGCTTCATTTACCATGTAGAAATTTTTCCGATTTTTGACAAGTTTTTTTTTCCTTGCAGATTCAGAGCAGGTGAAATTGTAAACAGCTCTTTTAGGATATTTTTGTAACAACCTTCTAATAGCATACGTCCTCTGAGACCAACTTTTATCTTGTTCTTCTACCCCTTTTTGGGGAGTGTGTGTGTGTATATATATATATGTATGTATATAATTATTACCCTTTTCTCAAAGGACTTCTGTTCTCTGACTTTCAAGGTGTTCTAGTTACCTTGGACATAAATCAGAGGAAGGAATGTAACTGTCATGAAAAATCTTTTTCTTGCAAATATTTGGAAAGTCTGATCTACAAATAGCGTGCAATGAGAGTTAGGGAGCTGACAGTGTAATTCAGAGCTCTCTTGATGCATGGATCTGATGTTTTTGATGTATTTATTATCACATACAATTTCTGGGAAAATTATGAGGAAGCAGGCTTTTAGTGAAGAATTAAATAAATAGAGCTAATATGTCTCAAACCAGCAAAACAGTTCTTCCAGTCTTTACTAGAGCTAGGCACGTTCTTAAGGTTGTAAACATGCTTTTGAGTGTTTCTGTATTAGATTTCTATTTCACAAACTGTGAAACTGAAATGCGAATAGCTGTTGGCAGAAGCGCAGGGATGTACTGTTAGTATTATTTTTGCTTTCAGAAACATTGAAAATGAAAACAGTGTGGTCATTAATTGTGGGGTTGAAATGAGTCATAATATTGTAGAAATATAGTACAGTGAATAATAAAAAACTTCAAAGAAGCTCTTTTAAGACCCAGAGCTAACAAAACATGCTTAAATATGTGAGTAGTTGTATGACTTCTCTCTTAATTATGAAGGAGGAGTATGTTCACTGATATGGCCATTTTTTATCATAGCTTAGTCATCAGTTTTATCTTTGAATTCTAATTTATATATTTTCCCTGCCAATGATACTGTCTCCTGATTATTGTTATTAGAATCCTGTTTAACTCTTCAAGCTCTGGTTTTGTCTTTTTTGGTTTTTTTGTTTTTTTGTTTTAAGAAATCTGCTGCAACAGATGGTTGTTTTGTTTAATCATGTTGTTAGGCCATCTGTTCCCACAGTCAGATGGGAGAAGACAGATTTATCGCATCTCACTCTGCGAGAGTGAGACTCACTCAGTTGGTTTCCGTCTCACACAACCTTACAGACTTCTCCCTCATTCATTTACAGCTCTCTAGCATAATTTAGTGATGGGTTGCATCTGCTGTAGGCTGAAAAGCTAGCTGTAGTGCTACACTGCAGCCTGGGGTGGAATGGCATGTAGGCTTCAAACTCTCCCTGGGAAGCTTTTCAAGGGCATAGTTGTTCACTGCAGCCTATTGCCAACTTCTCTCCCTGCTCACCAGCCATGTGGCAGGTGTGAGAAAATACTGTTTTTTCGCTAAGGGAAAAGGGACTGAAGGCATCTGCAAGGGTGTAGTCAGTATGTACAGCCACACTGGAGTGGCAGAGGATCATAGAGTCATACAATGGTTTGGGTTGGAAAGAACCTTAAGATCACCTAGTTCCAGCCACCTGCCATGGGCAGCGACACTTTCTGCTAGACCAGGTTGCTCAAGGCCCTGTTCAGCCTGGCCTTGAACACTGCCAGGGATGGGGCAGCCACAGCTTCCTTGGGCAGCCTGTGCCAGTGCCTCACCACCCTCACTGTAAAGAACTTATTCCTTATATCCAACCTAAATATCCCCTGTTTAAGTTTGAAGCCATCGCCCCTTGTTCTATCACTACAGTCCCTGATGAAGAGTCCCCCTCTGGCATCCTTGTAGACCACCTTCAGATATTGGAAGCCTGCTATGAGGTCTCCACGCAGCCTTCTCTTCTCCAGGCAATTTGAATAAGGTGCCACAAGCCCTACTTCTGTTCTTTCCTGTATCCTCAGATTTTTAGAAAGTTATTTTCCAGAGAAGTTACCACATATCTAGAGTTGCTGCTCAGCTAAAATACGGCTTCTCTGGCCAAACCAAGTTTTTGACATTTACTGAATTTGTCAGATGAAATCCGGCTGATACATACTTCTCTGAAGATGTTCCTTCAGCATAGCCACAGTGGCTGTAAAATGAACCATAAATATTTGAGATGAGACTTCATTAACTGGAAACTGCAGCAATGAATATACAAGATTTCATCTTGACAAATTTGCTGCAAATCTTTTTTCTTCATAAAATGATACTGTCTGTAATATTGCCTGTCTTATTAAAACAAATGGGTAGAAGGAAAAAGTGAAGGAAAATCAGTGATACTTACAGCTTAGCACTTACATATTTGCAAAAGTTGTAGATTCCTTTTAAAATAATTCTTTAACATAAATTTTGATGAATCCTGTACCATTTTTTTTGTTTTAATTCTATGTTGTGGGGAATCTTTCTGAGGAAGCAATAAACAGGCAACTGTGCTTCTTCAAGTGAAGAGAGAATATTCAGAAGCTGTAGGGCCAAGTTTTTAGGGTTTTCATGGAGCTGTGATTGCAGCAGTAACAAAAAGTCTCCCCAGATCTGTAGGTAGCAGTAAGAGTGTTTTGAAAGCATTAATGGTTTTGGTTTTTTGTTAGTTTTTTTTTTTTTTCTTTTAATTTTAATTGGTTTTCTCGTCTCTCTGACATTCTGGTAATCCTAAGGGTAAAAGAAATTAATGAAAGAAACCTTAGGTGGCAGAAATTTTACTCGGATTTAGCGGCCACTTTCTCTTAGCTGTAGCTTCCATGGTGACAGAAAGGAAGGTAAATGGCCTGAGGGACTTAAACCCTGCAGTCCCTGTTCTGATGTAGAGTGGGGTCATAAGGGATCCTAGCTTCTGTCCAAGTCAATAAACACTGATACCAAAATGACAATGAGGTTGCATTCCCCTTCTATTTCCCTACTGCAGTCTTTCGCTTGCCTTTTTCTCTATTTGCCTGGGGAATCTGAGCATTTGACTAACAACTACAGGAGAGTAAGGAGATTATTTTTAAGCAGCCCTCTTCTCCTCCACAGTTTGCTCCTAGGACAGAAGGAGGCTTTAAAGAAAATTGGCTTAAACCAAATTCTGGGGGTTTTTTTATTTTTTAACTACTACATTCTTTTATCTCTGCTTCAATGAACCTGAGCTGAATTTGTCTTCTGCAGCTAAAGAGCAAAGATCATATTCTAGAAAAAGCTATTCACAAATCAGATTAGTTGAATTACATTTTCTACAATTTTTTTTTAATACATAACATGACCTGCAAGTATCTACTTCTGTTCTCTTTCATTGCAACAGCTGCAGCTTGTACAAAAGCAAAAAGAATATTGTCTAGGACAAGTCATCAGCCTTTGAAGAAAACAACCTTTTTCCAAACTGAAATGCCTCAAATTTGTGGACATTTAGACATGTTGCTGCGCATACTTTCTTGTGGAAGAATGATAGGTGTGGTAGGACTGCATATTTTATGGGAGAAAACTTCTGATTAATTGGGGGTAGAACTGACGTTAGTTTTACAGCTGTTGAACTGTGGGGGTAGGGGATTTAGTTTATTAAAGGTCTCTAAAGAAATAAAACTCTCTCTTACAGTAATTCGATAGGTATTTAAAGGAATAAGCTACAGAATTTCATTATTATTAGCTAATTTGCTTCTTTTTCTCTCAGGAAAAGATCACGTCTGTAGATTCATAGGATGTGGAAGGAACGACAGATTTAACTATGTGGTCATGCAGTTGCAGGTCAGTGTGTCAAACAGCTCAAAGTTTGCTGGTGTGTTTTGGTTTATTAGCCAAGCATATATGAAAATAGCAGTAAAATTTCAGAGAATGAGAAATCAAAAAATAAAACAAAGATCGTGAATATATATCTTTATGCTTTGATATCCTTTCCATAATTCTCTCAGAAAGAAGAAAGTTTGTGTCCTCAAAAGGACTTGACTATTGAAAGAGTGAACTGTGATGTCTTCTGAGATAATTCACATTTCCTTGAAGTCTTCACTTGAGGATACTATATAATATATATTAGTCTGTGCATTTTGTTGGCCTTTTTCTGATGAAACTGAAAAACTACCCTTTGAAAATTAAAAGAAAACTCTTAATTCATTTTACTGAAAGACTATGTGAAAAGTGCTTAATTCGGTGATTAGCACTTAAAGTTATGAGATTATTGTCTTTTATCATCTTGGTGAATATGGATATTGGAAAAAGAAGTGCTTTAGTTTATACTGTTTGTCATGTTATTTTGACAGACCAACACTCCTGTGTATCATGGGGGTGCATTTCCTGCATAGTATATTTTTCATCTCTTTGGTTAAATCATCTAAGGTATACTGCATAATTAAATAGATTAAAGTACTTTCCTTTAAAGAGGTGAATGTAAAGAAGCCTTTGTGAGCAATTTCTCAGTATCCTTTTTTCAGGTGTGACACAGATACAACATTAACTAGTAGCGTATATACTAATTTTCTAATAGAGAATAGTTTTGTGGACTAGAAAGATACTAAGATTCATATTTTCAAAAACAGATTCTAAATTTAACATTGGAGGTACTGGGGGACATAACACTCATTATATTTAGGTGAGATGTGTTATCCTTGAATATGACAAGTGAGAGTATTCTGTAGTTAACCACAAACAGCTGAAGAAGTAGTATGAAGCCTTTACTATCTGTGAACCTTGGTATTAGTATTTTTTTATGTAAATGCCTTTTTAATTTGATCAGGGTCGGAACTTGGCAGATCTGCGTCGGAGCCAGTCTCGAGGAACGTTCACCATTGGTACCACTCTGCGGCTTGGAAAGCAGATTTTGGAATCTATTGAAAGTATTCATTCTGTGGGGTTCCTGCACAGGGACATAAAACCGGTAAGTATGCCCATTAGATCAAAACAGGCAGGTAGTATGTGGTCATTAGGTGGCTGCATGAATAAGAACAGGTTCTGTACTAGATGCTAAAATGAAAAAATGGGAAGGGACAGAAAACATTCATATTTTTATATAGAAGTCTATATATTTATCACACACAAGGAAAGTAAAGAAAGACTAAGGCAAAACTATTCAATTATTTTATTGGAATTGCACGATAAAATGAGTGTTGTCAAAATGTCATGAGGATAGTGCATTCCTGATGGCATTGTACTTTTGTTCTTACTGTTTTGTCTGTTTTTCTTTGAATTTATTCCTGAAATTGCATCATCTATTTTTAATATTGCTCCATGTTAAAAATATCATTAGAGTTGTGAACTTTCAAAATTTGTAAATGAGGGAAAGAAAAACAAAAAGGCGAATCTCATGTTTTCTAAGAGATGCAAATATGACTGGTTATATAGAATCATAGAGTCATAGAATAG